CGTCTTACAATCTTTGGACATGTTATCAGGAGGGACCAGTCCCTGGAGAAGGACATTATGATTGGTAAAGTAGAGGGTCAGTGATAAAGAGGAAGACCCTCAATGAGATGGATTGACACAGTGGCTACAGCAATGGGCTCAAGCATAACAACAATTGTGAGGATGGTGCAGGGCCGGCAGTGTTTTGTTCTGTTGTACCTAGGGTTGCTATTAGTTGGAACCGATTCAAAGACACCTAATAATAGGTTTTGCTTATTTCTTAAGAGATAAATAATAGGTATTTTTTAATACACTTTTTCTCATGTATTATTTTTTTACTTAACTCTCCACTAAATTTTTCCAAACTGATTATACAAAACATCATTTTAAAGCCACTGAGGCACAGAAAAGTTAAATTACATATTCCAACGCTGCTAATGAGTAAAATGTAAATTCTAGTAATTTGAAATGTAACCTATATCAGAGTTTACTGGCTTCGAAATAAATCAAAGCCAACTCTGAACAGAGTAGTTGATCAAAATTCCAGTCTAGATTTATGGTTGATTAACTTTCCATAGAGATCTCAAGCCCACCAGACTCTGGTAACTTCCAGGGACAACTCCAGATGAAGCATGCATATACCTCACCCCCCTAAACCCCCATACTCACCTGATAGTTTATGTTTCTTTATCCCAGTGAATTCTCATTGTTTTCACAATGTGAAAATAATGTGATAGAAATATGATGTTTTCATATATTGTAAAGCTTTGGTATGGTAAAAGTCTTCGAATCAGTGAGATCAAGATTAACAGCTCAGTTAAGGACGTGTTTATAATCAAGTTATTTAAACTCTTTGAGTCTCAATTCATTTCTAAAGTGGAAATAAAAGTATCCTCCTTTAGGGACTTGATTTGAGGATAATTGAAAGTGTTAGAAAAATGCTTAGCATAGAGACTAGTACAAAGATAGAGCCTAATAGATGCAAAATATTGCTATCAAAATAGATCTAATCCCAGATTTTACTCCTTAGTGATTATTCTGAAACTGCTTTTTAGAACACATCTTAATGCGTAATCAAACAGTGGCTATTAAAACACTCTCAATTATATGTTACAAATTTAAGATGATTAATAAGTCATAAATATTTATTGAGAAGATTTGCAAACTTTAAAATATATGAACTTTTAAGACAGGGAAAAATTACATTAACAACCCACGTGCAAACTTGAAAATAATTTTCTATCTTAGCAGTTTTCCAATTTTGTTCTTTTGTATTATTTGTTCTCTCTGGGAGTACTAGTCTAATAATGTGAAAACTTGTGATACACATACAACATAACGAAATAAAACCAGTAGCCTAATTGTTGAGGATTAAGAGTATGTTTAGAGTCATTCATGTAGGGTTATACAAATACTTTTAGGTAATGGTTAAACATATTGGTAAAAATTAACTTATCCATATAACTTTTACCCTATTTTCTAAGAGTGTCGCAGAGTGTAAACAACAAAGATGGAGTATTTGCCTATATAAAACTTATAACCCTAAGATTTTGTAACAGACTTACTTCACCTCTTGAGGAAGTAACTCCTTTTTAATATTTATTTAAGCAAGGTTTCTCAGGTTACTGGCTGTTAAATAAACCTTGTTAAGTAAGAGTAATGCATGTTAAAGATTTAAGAATTCTTTACCACACATTCTGCATTAACTTTCCTTCTTTTCCAATATTTCCTCTTGCTGAAAAATTTCAGGTTCTCAGATACAGCATGGTAGAATGATTATTTATATAACTTTTATTGTCTCTGCTCTGAATAGCTTGGGTTCCATAGACCCTTATCCTATCTCTTCCCAATTTATGTAATAAAAAATACTTCTGTCTTCCTCATAGAAGTTATAGGAAGTGATTTAAGTGTGTATATGTAGGACTTGAATAATAAAAGAACAGTATGATCTCAGTGTATTGTCGGTATAATAGTCACATTTCTTAGACTTATTATAAATTGAGTGATGTTTGCTGGTTGATGATACAATATGATCATTTTAAATTGCAATTTTTGTAGCTACTAGAGGCTTAGAAATCATTTAACCCACCATGAAACCCAGGTTCTAATCAGTTGGTAGTTGAGTGGGAATTAAAGACTTATCCTCCCATCTTATATTTTAGTTTAATTTCCATTATCTCATGCTTCCACTTAAAAGTTTAACTTTCTGACTTTTTTTTTAATAATTCATTTTAATTACATAAGTAATACAGTCTCTTAATAAATCCTTGGAGTATTACAGATAAGGTTAAAGTCCAGTTTGCTCACCAAGCCATTCCCACAGTACCATCTTTTTCAGAAGGGTGGGCAAATTTTGTATGGTGAATATATCTGTTTGGATTAGTTTTAGTTGAAAATAGAAAAATCCAAAGTGAAAGTGGCTTTAACAAAATGGAAATTCTTTTCAGTGTCATATTCAAGAAGTCCAGAGGACATTAATCAAGGTTGGATGGTTGCTCTAAGATATCAGAGACCCTGCTTCTATCTTCCTGTTTCTCCATAATAAACAACACCCATTGCTGTAGAGTTGATTCTGACCGTAGCGACTATGTAGGACAGTAGAACAGCCCCAAAGAGTTTCCAAGGAGCGACTGGTGGATTCAAACTGCAGACCTTTTGGTTAGCAGCCAAGCTCTTAACCACCGCGCCATAACAGTTGCTTCCCATTTAAGTCCAAGATGGCAACTGGAGGTACAGTCAATATATCACATTACAGCTACAGGAAAAAGAGTACTCCTCTCCACTTTAAAGATACTTTCTAGAAGTTGCATATTATTTTCACTTGGATCCCATTGTGAAACATTAGTCACATGGACATATATAGCTGCAAGAGAGGCTAAGAAATGCAATATTTATTCTGGGAAGCTATATGTTCAGGTAAAAATTGAGGCTTTCATTTTTATGGAAGAAGGAGAGAACAATGCCTCACATAGGAAGTGTCCAGGGACAGCAAGAATTCTATTGCTCATCACTCCCTTTCCCTGGCCAGCCTAGGCATCAGCTAAAAACCTTAGCCTTCAGAAGAAGAGCTAGACCTGCTAGGATAATAGGAATTCCTTCGCCATCAGTGAATATTATCTAGAAATAATCTAATCTTTTGAAATTTTATGTCTGGTATACTGGTATACCTGGGGATAATTTTGATTATCTTTGGCACTCTCATAAACATCCATTCCGAGGAACAATAACAACAACAACAGCAATAAAACAGTAAGTTGCAAAATATGTAATAAAGTGAACAACTCACCAAATGATACTATAGATTTTTATGGGGATATGAACATATAAAATAGCCTTGAAGGATGCATATAAAGCTGATAATGATTGTTACCTTTGGTGTTGTGGGATTGAGGGTGGTGATCAAACTGTACTTTAATTTTTCTGAAATGTTATAAGATTTAAAACAAAGCAAGGTGCGTGGGGGATGGGTGACGAGAAGACTTACCACATGGAGAGCCTTAAGAACTCTGTGGTACCTTAACTGGATAGCCATTATATATCAGTTACAGGTTTTGGTTGTGAGCAATAGAAACCAATTCTGATGAACTTAATCCAAAAAGGTAACTTAATTGGAAGAATAGAGATTATCACAGATTCAAAGAAGAAGTTGAATGGTAAGGCTATGTAGTAGGAATTAAGACAGTCACTAAAACCCCAGGCATCTTTCATCATTGTGTCTCCTTGTTCATGATTTACATTCTCATGAGGTAAAGGTGAGAATGTAAGTTGTCATTTCGTCAAATTGGTCAAGCTTGAAGCACATTCTTAGCTGAGGTTTGGAGAGTAAGAGTTGTAAGTAGGTGCCTTGATTCACTGTCCCAGCAAGTCACAGAATGTGAGAGGAACCATTCCCCAAATAAAAATCAGATTCTGTTACCATCCTGGGGGAAGGTTCTGTTTTGGAGCTAAGATTTGTGGTCTTAATTCTTCAAAATATCTTTACTTGGTTACATTGCAATGAACCACATTGTTTAACCAAATTTTCTGTACTATTAAAATTTGCTCAGAAATTGTTTTCTTTACAGCTCTTTTTTACTGAGCTATCTGCCATCAACCTTTCGTTGCTCTTGAAAGCAAGAGCTGCAAGGGCAGCTACTTTTTTTACTACTCCTGCCTAAATAGGGTTATACTTTCCTGCTCCAATGATTTCAAGCTTGATCATAGCACTTGCTTTGGCTAATAAAATGTGAATGGCAGTGATACATGCCACTTAACATTTATTTCCAGAGAAAGTCATTTTTCTCTTGAATTTTTAATGCTTCCTTTTCAAAGATAACCTAGTTTCCTTTCTTGTCTAGATTATCTAAACTCACAAAGCTAAAATTAATGCTCTATTCCACTACATTGGCTTAACCTTCTAGTATTTTAAGTACTTTATTCTCATTGTACTTAAGTTATAGGTAATCTAAAATTATTTTGTGAAGCTAGCAATGTAAATATGTTGAATATTCATAGTGTAATAAAAAGAATAAGATAGACATGTGAATGAAATTAACTGTATCTGGCATGAGTGTTGATATGGATATAATGGATCTTGATATGTTGATGTTATCTATAGACTTGTAATTATTTGTAAATAAAGACACTATGCTATACTCCTTACAACCCCAAGTGTGCAGAATAGAGTTGCATTCCATAGAGTTTTTAAGGTTGTGACCTTTCTGAAGCCAATCACCAGGCCTTACTTTCAAGGCACCTCTGGGTGGGTTTGAACTTCCAATCTGACAGTTAGTAGTCCAGTGCTTAATCATTTGTGTCTTCAGGGACTCCATGAGTTGGAATTAACTTGGCAGCAACTAACAACAACAAGAGCTATACTAAATTAAATTGAGAAATATAGTAGATTATCATGATCATGTGTATAGGGCTTTCATGTTATAAGGATATTGTCACTTGGAATAAAGAAGTGTGTTTGTTGGCCCAGATTGTTTTAAACATATTTGTTATTTAGTGTATTATAACTAAATACTTATTTTTTACAGGACACTAACAAGTGCTGGTAAAAACTTGCAAGATAATTTTCTGAAGGCCCTGGCAGTGAGAGAAGAAGACAATCGCAATGGAAAAGTGAGCGTGAGTACATTTCAGCCAAGAGCTAAAAATGTATACAATAAAAGCAGTTAGTAATAATCATATACTTTTCCTCCCTGAAAAGTAATTCATGAGGGATATAATCGCATAGAATATTGGGGATATAACTCCATAATGGGAAAAAGGAATTCGTTTTTCAAACGTTGGTGACCTTATGCCAACTTTACTCTTTTTTCTATTATATTTATTATTTTCACGAACATATCTTTTTTCTATTCACTTGGACAAGATGCTGGTTGCTCACATAAATGGATTTGCTTGATTAGATAAGCAACTAGATAAAATTTTAACTGGGAAAGCTTATTATATATGCAGAATTTCTGGAGCTGAAAACCATGTTTGGGTTTCTGATTAAACTTCAATAGAAACAAATAAGATACAGGCTTCAGGAGAACTATTTGTAAATGAAGATGCCTTTGAAGCTAAATACATTTCATTTTAATTCAAATGACTATGACTAAAAAAATAATAATTCAACTTTCATATAAAAATGATCGATAAATGCCTATATGTACAAATATGGAATCATTAAATGTCTTAAATAAAAATGTGTTGTGTCCACATAATATTACGTTATTGAAACCGTGACATTCTTTTCATTCAACAATGGCTAAAGCTCAGCTTTTGCATCTGCAGTACTAGAGCACTGCAGCAGATGTTGGTGTCCCTCCCAAATCTCCTTTCCCAGCCAAGTACACCCAACTCCAGATGCTACAGGTGTTAGTGAATAATGGTTCACACCTGCAACCTCTTTGAAAGGATTGCCCTTAGCTGACAGGAGCCCTACCCCCATGGCAATTAATAATTAATTGATGGAGACAGGGAGTGGGGAAGGGAGGTGTGTACAAGGTCATCCCCCTTGCCTTAAGGCAAAACAAACTCTGTGGTACAATTCGTGCTCCACATTTCCTTGTGTAATCAGACTGAGGCTGGACTTTTGCTGAAATCACATCTCCTTCTTCGTGTCCTTACAGCTTTCTCAGGAGAGAACATGCTAAATAAATCACTTGCACTAAAATCTGCATCTTAGGCTCTGCTTCTAGGAAAAAAAACAAAAAACCAAACCCATTGTCGTCGAGTTGATTCCGACTCATAGCGACCCTATAGGACAGAGTACAACTGCCTCATAGAGTTTCCAAGGAGCAGCTGGTGGATTTGAACTGCCGACTTTTTGGTTAGCAGCTGAATGCTTAACCACTACACGACCAGCACTCCTAGGAAACATGACCTAAAATAAGCACATAATATTTATAATTGATTAAGCACCTACTAAGCGTTAAACTTCCTCCAAGACTGATTTGTTCCATTTTTCTGTTCATGGTATGTTCAATATTCCTTGCCAACAGCACAATTCAAATGTAACAATTTTCCTTCAATCTTCTTTTTCTTCGTCCAGCTTTCATGTGCATATGAGGCAATTAAAAAGACCATGACGCTTTAGCTTTTTAACACTTTAAAGAGGTCTTTTGCAGCAGATTTTTCCAGTGCAATTTGTCCTTTGTTTTGGTTCCGCAGGCATTGATTATTGATCCAATTAGAGTGAAATCCTTGACAACTTCAGTTTCTTCACCATTTATCATGATATTGTTTATTGCTCCAGTTGAATATACCTTGGCTTGAATCCAGATTGAATTCCTATCTGTCTCGGAGGAAGTACAGATGGCATGAATGCTGCTTAGAAGTGAGGATGGCTAGACTTTGTCTTGTTTATTAGGAATTACCAACTTTAAATACGACGTCATGTTTTGTAAAGTGGAGGGTCAGCAAAAAATGAGAGAACGCCTCCATGAAATGTGTTGACACAATGGCTGCAACAATGGACTCAAGCATACTAATGATCATGAAGATCGCATAGGCTGGGCAATGTTTCATTCTGTTATACATGAGGTCGCCATAAATGGGAGCCGACTAGATAGAAACTAACAACAGGAAGATTTAGGCTTATGTGTTCTCTACACACTATAGAATTGTATTCTAAAAATATCTCATCAGTGTGAAAATTATTAACCATATGTTATGGGTGAGGAAACTCAGGCTCTGTGGAACTGAGGACATTGTATTTAGCTCGTAATGGAAATCTAAGACACAAACTCAGATTAATCTGGTTCCATAATCTCTGTCTTTCCAGCTTTTCTCACTGCCTTGGTATCACATTTTTATCCAAGAAATAAAAAAAAACTCTATTCACTATACTTTTTCTAGCAAAATGGAAGTTGATCTGCATTTTATTTTCCAAACATTGATGCAATTTGACTGAAATGAAGGTAAGATTCTATGAATCATATAATTTCCATAAGAGTTTATTAGTAGGCAAGCATGGATTCAATTAAAAAGGAAATAAACATCTATATAATACCTTCATTTAGTTGAAAGGGAACATTTTAAAGAAGTTGGAAAATGGCAAGGAGGGAAAAGATCATGTCAGCACAATGTTATTGGTCATATACAACGCAATCTTACGTTTCATAGAGATTTCAACACAGGAAATAGGTATATTAGGAACTGCCTAATTCATGGTTTTTTCTGACTCAGGTACAGTGGTTTCTTTGAATGACTCTGAAGGACAAGCTATAAGCAGTGTTTTTGTAACAGCTTCAATAACGCGTATTTCAAAGCCAAAACTAGCCAGCCATGTAACTGTTTACATACTCAACATTCAGTGGGAAAATAAGTGTCAACAGGTTCCATTTTCCCAACCCAGAATAGCATGTGACCTTTCATTACAATTCTCATGAGTCTCTGAATAGGAAGGACATGCTTTATTTTTGTTTTTTTTCCATTCAATAAATCTAGGATTCTTAGTTTACCACCATCTCAAAAATAACCCAAAAGCTCTTACCGACAACCACTTAGCCACTTAAAAAAGTTATAAAGTCACTACATGTTGGAAACACTGTGAGGGAGAACATATATCTTATGTATCTTTGTTTATGATAAATAGCAAAGTGATTTGCATAAAGTGGAAAATTAATAAAATGGACTGTAGTTTACTATATCATTTAAAAATGATTCTATAAAGTGTTTTTTAAAAATCTGATCACTGTAATAATTTGACAGTGACCAACAAACTTTAGATCTGTAATAAAATCTGTAAGCACCTAATTGTCTCAAAGAACTCCTTCAGTCATCTTTTCTAAAGAGAAAGTCAAAACTATTCAATGCTCCCCTTAAACTATCAACAAAGTATTGCATTTTTCCCACATCTATTTTATCAACAGTGATACAGCTCTAACAATGATACAACCAACTCTCCTTTACCACAGGAATCATATTATTTATTGAATAATTGTCATGTATTTTGCAGTGTGCAGTGTTTAATCTATATTTTCAATCTTCAGTAAATATTAAGAAGAGGGTACTCTAACGTTACTCACATTATTGTGGCTCAGAAAATAGCATACTCTTTTTGTGACCTGTAATAGTAGGCAAGAAGTGAATCTGGAAGTTCAGTGTAGTTGTTGTCTACCTCCAATGTCTATGCTGTTAACCACTGCACCATACTGAATTCTCTAAAACCAGTGTCAAAATTGTCTTTCCATTGTAAAATGACAATCATCTACTTACTCTCCATTAAATCTCTCAAAACATGTCTTTAATGTTCCCTCTCAATATTTCCTACATCAAAACAAAAAAACGTTTTGTGGATTTTATCTCCTAAATTATTACTCAAGTTTATCTGTCCCTACCACCCATTCTGTCATTTCTTTATTCCAGCCTTTCATTATCTATTGTCTGACCTGTTACAATGAACTTCCAGTCTACCTCTGTCTCATATCTCATCCCTCACTCCTCATATGCTACTGCCAGTATACTTTTAAATTGCATGTCTGATTACATCATCCATTTGTCTAAATTATTTCAATGATACCTCATCATCTTCAGAATATTGTCCATTCTACTTAGCACAATATACATCATCCTTTAGATCTGGCCGTTGTCCACCCCTTTGGTTTCCTTGCCCACTCCCCTGAATTTATTTGAAAGATATTTTCAAGGTAGAATTGACCAAGCTTGGTGACCAACTGGATATAAACTCTAAGGAGTGGAAGAGGAAAACAAAATTAGCTTAGTCGTAGATTAAGTTTAATTATCTGAAGGTTGGAGTCCCTAGGTGGTACAAATGGTTAATAAACTTGGCTGCTAACCAAAAGTTTGGAGGTTTGAGTCCACCCAGAGATATCTCGATAAAAAGACTTGGAGATATGCTTCCAAAAAATTAGCCATCGAAAGCCTATGGAGCACATTTCACTCTGACACAACATCGGGTCACCATGAGTTGGAATGGACTCAATAGCAACTAGTAAAGAAAGGTAAGGTAATTTGAGGGATAGCGCTGTGGAGATACATATTGGAGCAGACTTCAGGAGATGTTTTTTCTGCAACTACCTACTTAACATCTCAACATATTCTTTTCAGTAGGTCTAAGAGAACTAAAACTCAGTATGTCCAAACTCAGACCCATGATCTGTGTGACCCATTCCTAATTTTTTATTACAACATATCTCAAGGAGTGGCAGCACCATCTATGCAGCTGTGAAGGTCAGAGCTATCAAATGTCACTCCCCCTGCTTCTAGCCTCCTTCTCATCCGTAGCCTGTCACCACATCCTGCTAAGTTTACCTTCTAAATAATTCTCAGATCAGTTCTCTTCTCTTCAACTTCTCTATCATCTTCCTAGTCCAAGCTACCATCTACTCTTATTTAATCTTCCAATGCATCTATACTGCAGACATACTAACTTTTTCAGTCTGAAACTCTGATCATATTATCTCCAACCCCACTTATACACACACCATAAGAACTTGTTGTGTTTTACCTTTATAGCCCCATCACAGCTGTATTTTTGCTTTATTTGTATTATTACTTCATTATTCTCTTTCTTCCTCCAAGCAACTTTAAGTTCCATAAGGCATTCACCACCCATTTTTATCCCCAACAGCTAATAAATGCCTGGTACAAAACCAGTTATTATTTTTGTAATG